GTCAGACGGCTGCCTGCGTGCCCCACCACCAGCTCCCGGGGCCGGTTCTACATCATCTCTCATCTAGGTTATTTTATAACTTTGGCACTCGTCCCCCTTCTCACATCCTGCCTTTGCTGGCCTGTGTGAACTTGTGGTTTCATCCTCTGCTAAACTGGGGCAAGAATAGAACTTGCCCAATAAGGTTTCTGTGAGTTTTCAATATTAACATAGGTTAAGTACTTAGAATGGTGAAGAGTGTGTGATAGCTATTTTAATTAACTGTCATTCCTACTGTCCTTAATATCCTAGTGTGTAGTTTCCAGCCTCAGGGTCACTTCATAGTACAGAATGGCTGCTGGGGTGTCAGCCATCATACCTCCCTTCCTGGCAGCAGGATGGAGGGAGTCCTTTCCGTGAAACCATCTGGAAAAGCCATATCCATGGATGTCTCATTGGCCACGTCTGAATCACTTAGCCACGCCAAGCTCTAATAGAGTCATTTAGTTGAGTCTGGCTACCAGTTGGGTTTCTGTTATAAAAAAAAAAGGGGGGGTGCAGAACGGCAGTTATTGCAATGGGCAGAGACTATGCTGTGACTAGGATGTGTGTGGTACTATAAGGCATGTGATGAGGGCATGTATGCGCGAGGGCAGACGGGGCTTCTCTGTGACAGGGAAGACCGGCCAGAGTAATGGGGGAGTTTGCTGGGCAGGGGGGAGGGGAGAGTTCCGAGGAGAGAACAAGGGTCAGCGGCTGTGACAGGAGAGGGTGTGCGCAGAGACCTGGCAGGCTGGATTCGCTGTCCTCCATCCAGACTCTCCCACAGAGTGCTGCCAGAATCACGCGTGGCACCTTTCTCCCGTGGGAGGTGCCCAGACGGATGGCCTGAGAGGTGCCCAGACCCTTCAGGAGCACAGGCCGTTAGCGCCCTTGGTCTGCATGAGAAGCAGCATCTTGGTCCCAGCACTTAAAGCAGAGTTGGGCTGCAGAGACTTGACTGGGACCCTGACACAGCGTTTCCTGGCTGGATGAACTTGGGCTTAACATTCTCACGAACTACAGTTGACCGTTGAGCAATGCAGGAGTCCTGAGTGTTAACCCCCAACCCCTACCTCGACCCAGTAAAAGATCCACATATAACTTTGACTCTCCTAATAGCCTGCTGTGGACCAGAGCCTTACCGTGAACATAAACAGTCAAGTAACACACGTTTTATTTATCTGTATGTTATATGTATTCTAGATTGTATTTTTATGATAAAGTAAGCTAGAGAGAAAATGTTATTGGGAAAATCATAAGGAAGAAAAAACAACATTTATTGTGTTTATTGAAAAACACAAATAAGTGGACCCACGCAGTTTAAACTCATGTTGTTCAAAGGTCAAATATCTGATCTATTTCATCATCTGTAAATGGAGGATGCCACTGATGTTTAACCCCGAGGCCTGCTGTGAGGACCAGCATTGCTCAGGATAGTAAGCCCAGGGCCAGTTCCTGGGCCCTCGAGAACATCCCCTGAAGAGTGACTGTTCTACTGCTGTATCACCTTCATCTTCATCACCTTCCTCTCCTCATTCTCTCTTGAAGACACGTCCCAGTGCCCTGCGAACGCATCCTGCACCAGCCATTCTCTAGGGCTGTGCCGCGCGGCACACCACACCTCCTTCTATGCCCTTCCTTCTGAAAAGGGCCTGGAGGATGTATGCAGGTGGGTATCGAATCATCCAATCTGGGGACGTTTGACTTGGAAGGAACCCCTTCCTGTAGCAGGTGAGGAAATAGACCCAGAGAGGTGAAACGTGGTTGGTGGGGCCTGACAGGGTGGCCTTGAAGAAAAAGAGGTCTTTGTGGAAGAGAAATTGCCTCCCTGTGGCCCCAGGACAAGGGGAAGTTTGCAGGCTGGTTCTATGCATATCCGTGGGTCCGCGGGACAGGTGCACGTACACAGAAGCCTGCGCGAGGCATGTGGGAGTCCAAGCGTTTCATATCTGTTCTTCTCGCAAAGATACTCAGTTTCCTCTTGAAAGCCATCTACTTGGGTTATCATGTGTGTGTGGGGGTGTGGCTTCAAGGCAGGTACCTCCTACATCCACCCCAAGGGCACCGTAGTCATACAGGTCCTTCTTTACCGGGGAGAGCATAGGCGCAGGCACGGCATAGAGAACCCCACAGACTTACACACAGTGCGTGCCCCCCTCATGCCCTCGGGGAGTGTGCGACCTCATAGGAGAGACATTAAACAGATGCACTACACAAAAATTGTAGGTGTGCGGAAACCGGCAAGAGAAAAGTACAGTGAGACCTTTCTAGATCATCCTGTCCAGGAATATGTTTTGCTACTCCTTAGTTTTCAGCCCACAACAGACGTTGCTAATTGGTTATTGCATTCTTTCTAACGAAAGTCAGACGGAGCGTCAGAAGCCTTCCCAGCGTGGCCCTGCAGACAGCCATTACTAATCAGGCAGACTCGGCCCTCCAGGCAATACCTACTGGCCATGCAGATCTGGCCCTTTCCCAGCCCTCCCTCCACCGTTCTTTCCGCAGACAGCGCCTTGGCCGGAGGCTGGAAGGCACGTGCCTGCAGACTCCAGCCAGAGGTGAGGGTAGACCCCGCGTCCAGCTGGTCTGCTCCCAGCTGCGCTCCGCACACTGCCTGTGACTGTGGAGTGACTGGTCTGTCCTCGAGAGCTGACTCCGAAGCAGTAGCCTGTGTGGCTGCCAGCGATCGATCTCAATTTGTTACGTTTATTCCAAGGCTCCTTCTCAGAGGTCCGACCTGTTTAGGGCGTTGCAAGCTGTAATTTATGTTATTTAAAAGCTCCGATAGGAAAGTTGCCCTTTGTTCTCAAGAGTTATTTCTCGGGGAAAATATATGTTTTGTGGAAAGTTTGAGGGCAGCCTTAAACTGAGGACATCACCACAAAGGCCTAGTCTCTCATTTTCCTTCCCGGGATTTCTTCTCATGTGCCGAAACGGGTGAGTCCAAAGGGGTGTTTTCTGCTCCACTAAGATCAAACTTCCAGAAAGAGGTCGAGAGCGAGGGACGTTCTACTTTCGGAGGCCTATCGAGTCCCGCGGTTTGCACAGGACTTAACCTCGGTATTTATTTTATAGTTCATCAAACATTTGCAAACCTCACTCCCCCTGTGCCTTTCAGATGACATAGCTGAGATTCAACACAAATACTTTCCTAAGGAAACATACATTTATCATCCCCTTAATGTTCGTGTCTCCGAGGTTTCTTTTCCGTTGTGTGAAAAGATGTTTAATATTTAAGAGGCTTTTCTCTAAGCGATTCCTCATTTTAGTCTCGATTTCTCACCTCTTGTTGCATTTATTTTTTTATTTTTTCTGACCTCTGGAGAAACACTGTAGGAACTCATGAACTTCCTTATTTGAATACTCACAGCCATAGTTTGGGAGCAAAGAATCCGAAAACCATGCTCGTATTCCTGTCTTCTTACCTTGGGAGAACTTTCAGGATAAAGTTGCTTGAAAAATTAGTGTTGGAGAGGTGGAGGGCTGCCCTTCCTGGAAATCCTTCAGCATTCTGGAGACATCTCTGAGATCCAAGACATCTTGTTGGCCTGGGTTTATCCCTTCCGCCTTTTGCTGGGCTCCAAGCACAGAGTCATGGCGGTAGGGTGGGTTCAAGAAAGCCATGGTCTTAGTGCATAGGAAGAGAGAGAATTCTCTCCAAGGTAGAGAATGGAGAAGGAAGAAGGCCCCAATGGGGCCTCTAGGTTATTTGATTTATCTGTGTTGCCTCCTCTAGTATTTTTGATGCTGTAAAGTCTAGAGACAGAGTCTGCAGTCACAATTTTGAAGGGTTTGTGGCCTCTATGAATGTATGAGTTGAGTTGACTTCGTATTTCTGATGACAGGCAACACAGCTTTGCAATTTATTATCTATGGGACATTGTATGATCACTTAACTTCCAGCTTCCATTGTATTGATCATCTGTAAAATGGGGGTAATAAGGGTACCCAGTTGCTCTGATTTCTTTTGGTAACACAAATAAAGGGCTTAACACAGTACCTGATGACAAGTTCCCACTCAATAAATGTTCATCTCTAAGACGAGAAGTTATGTCTTGAAAATGAAGTAATTCCTAGATGTGATATTTATACGCAGATAATAATTCCCCTCCAGATTAGAAAAATGCTTTTTGAAACACTGTGTGCTGTAATAGCAATCACAAATAGTGTGGCATTAACCACAGCCTAATAGTCTCAATGTAGAAAAAGAGACAAATACATCTTGTAAATGTTCATCTTTTTGCACGTGTCTATAACTCCAGTTCCTTGCCTGTGCCATTGAGAACGCTATTATGTCTGGTATTATGGATTGACTGACTGCCTTTTTGTTGTTCTTAGAATATCAGCTTTATTTCAAGTACACAGATTCTTGTGCACGTTTCCTTAACCATCAATAAAGGAAACAGCTAAAGTGCCACAAAGCAAAGAAAATAGACTTTACAAGCATAACCGACTTATAATGGACTTACCTTTATGTACAGCAAGACTTCTCACCTTTGGTACAGTCGACCCATGAGCCAGATCATTCTGAGCCCTGGTTTCTAACCACTAGGAACCAATAGCCCTTGCTCCCTCCTCTCCCCAAAACCCAAATGTGTCCTAACAGCTCTCCTCCAATGGGAACTGTTGGCTACAGGAAGAAGGAATTGGGTCTTGGAAGTGTGTGTTTTGGGCTACTGGACAGAGCCTCAGGTCCAGCTTTGCAGGGAGGTTACCAAACTGCCCGGGCATGGTGACTCCCTATACGCGCGCTCACAGATTAGCTGTTGATACTACAGATTCAGACAGCAGATAAAATAATCCGCACCGAGGCTTTATTTCGGGAAATGACTTGGCTTTCTTTTTTTTTTTTTTCCTTTTTTCCCCTCAATTATGGTCTTTTCATTTGCCAACGCAGCTGAACAAAGTTTTACAGTTAATCTTGACTTCTTATATAATGATTGCTTTTTTCTTTTTGTTGTTTTGCCCTTATTTTTCAGCTCCCTCAGGCACAAAAGGTAAACTCTTTTCCATCACACCACCACCCTCCCCAGAGCTCACGGGCTGTGCATGTCTTCATGGTCTTGTGCATGACCAGTGAAATGGTCTTCCTCTTACAACCCCAGAAGCCTGCGGTTGGACAGAACGCCAACAGAGCAGAAAGGCCAACGGAGGCAGCTGTCCACTGTCTCCTGCCACGTTAGTCCCTCCAAAGAACCCTGTAGTGGCCAGGGGACAAATCTATGCCCAACCACGTTGCTAAGAATTCTCGAATAATAGGTCAAGTGTAAATTTGGCACATTCCTTCAAACAAAGCATCCCAGATCGTCCCTGGGACACTGTCCTAGAGAAACAGATCATGTGACTAATCAGTAAGGCCCAGTGACCAAGTTTAGAGTCTGGGCTCTGAAGCCAAATCTCTGAAAACTCCCCTTGGGTTTGACTAACTGCAAAACCAACAGTCCCTTCTCTTGTCTCGTCACCCACACCACCGAGAGAGCCTTAGAGCAGAGTTCTTGCCAATGGCCAGACCCTTTCACTGGTCCTCATTGTCTGTCTGAGATGATCTGAATCCACCATCTAGAATGTTCTCTGTCCAGAAAGATGTCATGTGGTTGCAGTGCTCGCTTTGCTGTGCTGACCCCATGGCATGCCATCATATCCTAAGGACTGTCATGGCAGAAAACATGTCACATATGCCTGCTGCTTTGTTCTCATATATTTCACAAACATAAGCAAGATTTCCAGAGGACACAGCGGTTCCTGGGGGCCAGGTGAGGGGTGCGTTTGTCTCAGGAGCCGAGGTAGGGCACTACTCCGGAATTCCAGCAGTACCTCCCAGACTCTCTGCAGTTTGGAGCAGAGATCATTTGGTTTCTCCTTGTTGAGAGAGATAACACAACTGCTCTACAAAAGACAGTCTGTTCAGACCATATGGACAACCAGAGGCCTAGAAATCATTACACAATTACTCAAATCTATTTGAGTATTTAAACAAGGCAAGACGTGCTAGTGTGTGACTTGGCTCGTGGTGATGTTTGCTTATACTTCGGTGCCATCACAAAAGGACTGAGCACTTCATTAAAAGTTCAAGTATTTGAGTGGAGAAACAGCTTCCAGGATAAATATATGGTCAGAACTCCAGATTATCTGGAAGGCTCCGCATCTTTGATAGGTCACGCTTGCTTAATTGCCCACATTTGAAATTCCCTTGTAAAGAGACCTAATAAATCCGGTGCCTAAATATGGACTGGCCTCCACTTACTGGCTCTTGCTCATCACATTTCCACTGAGCCATGTCCAAGAGGGTTCTGTCGGAGAAGATTTCTCACGCATCCGAGGTGCTGTCCGCCATGGAAGTTTAAAGCAAAGTTCAAAACAAACCGACGCAGAATATGGTAAGAACAAACGTTGCGGGGACATCCGATTCTTCAACAGCACTTAGCTCACTGAACTCTTTCCTTCTGTCATCATCTCCTGACGCACGTCACGTGTCCTGCACAGGGAAGCGTGCTGTCGTGATCACAGACAGTTCAGAACCAGAAAGATTCCCCGATGGCTCCCCCTGTTTCCAGAGGATGCTGGGCCACCCGAGGGCCTGTTCTGCAGTCCTGAATTACAAAAGAAATAAATCCGCCTCCCATTCCTCACCGTGGCTGCAAATGGTCTTCTCTCTATCCAAGTAATATTAAAAAAGATTAGGAGCCCCGCATGAAATGTTTTCAGAACTCTTTGGGGTAGTTTCTGACCAGTTCAGCTCTGTGGAGAAGGCTGACTATAAACCTCTGGGTGTCTGGGCTGGAAGGTGAGGGCAGTAGAGAGGGAGGCCCCCTCTCTCCGGACTGCCAGTCTCAGGTGGTCGTGCATGGGCCCCTGCCCCTCACACCCCCAGTGCCCTCCCCGGTGTTAACCTCAGTGACTCTTGCAGAGCCCTTTCCTGGAAGGATGAATTCCCTTCAAATAGGTTGCCTTGCCCTTGACCAGCAAGGAACTGGTGGGCTCCATTCCCACCTTCATCCCCAGGTGACCATGAGCAGGTCACTGAATCTCTGTGCGCCTTGGGATTCTTGTTTACTTAACGGGAATGAGAGGCTAACTTTGCAGTTTTGCTCAGAGAGTTATTTCCCTCACTTGTGCCCAGCACAGAGCCTGACAAATGCTAGACATTTGCAAAATTTAGAGTCCCTGTGACCATTTGCTTGTCCTGGCCCCTGAGGCGCTGGAGCAGGTCAGGAGAACAGTCTTATGTGATGTGGGCATCTGGGACCTCTGCCGTGTTCTGTGGTTCTGACTCAAGCCTCATGAATAATCAGGAGATGAGAAGAGAGGCCAGAAGGTATGTGGCACCCCTCCTATTTCGTTAGAAACTGTGTAGTACCTGACTGCTCCTTTCTAATGAGTCAGAAAGACATGCAGATTGGGCGTGACACCCAACCAAGCAAAGGCTTCAAAAGACAATTGTTTGGGGAGATTTCTTCCCAAGGTTTTTGACATTACCCATAGATTTCACCCATCCGTGGACATGATTATAATGAGCCCCTTCCAAGCCTGTGAGTTTGTTGTTCTGGTAAAAGGGAGCCATCTCCAGCTGTTCCGTCTTTGCCTGCTTCTCCCATGAGGTCATGAGTGCATACATTGGACCATATGGTGTCTGCATTTGTGCTGTGTCTTTGTATCATCTGCAACTGATTTCTCTTTTTAAATATTTTAAATAGTTATGTCTCTATAAACATGCTTATTATAATTTCTCCACTGATCTACAACTAAAAATGTCCTATTTGGTGTCCCTCTTATATGTGGCAGTCATTGATGAATGCTGTCTATAAGTTATGGTCTTCATGATTCTAACATTTTGAGGGTCTTGCAGAAATTATCTCCTGGCCCCTTATGACTATTTTCTAGAACAATCATTTGCAAAAATAAAAAAAATTGTTTTGCTTTTTCCTGTGATTCTTAAGCACCTCTAAGATCATTTCTAGACTATGAGTTTCAACCCATTATATAAGCCCAAAGTTGATACACCTGATCCATGTTATATATTTTCACCAAGTGCATAAGCAGCACCCTGAAGTCTTGGTTAAAAAACATGTAGCAATACAGACCCATGCCTTCAGCTATCATAGATCTGTCCTTTTTGGTGGAAATTCAACTACTTCTTCCAGTGTCTTGATTGTCCTTGACTTCAGTAATGAAGAGACATCCATATGTGAGACAGATTTGCCTTTATTTCTCTACATGACTTCCACAGAAATATCTGGGACATCCCATTTTATTATAATAACATAGCAGAATTACCCAACGCCATCACAAATGCAAATTCAATAGTCAAAGACAGAAAAACATGGCAAAGAAATAAAAATAGGTCCATTTTTCAAGCTGCTCATTCATTCGAGTAGGTTCTGTCTGAAGGAATGAAACATCAGGGTTCGCTGTGGGATTGACTTGACCACTGGAGAGTGGGGTACCGAGTACTGAAAGGCAAGCATAGCATTGGCTGTTCACATGAGTTCACTTCTCCGCACGCCGGTACCCCCTCGCCTTCATTGTGTGCTGCCTTCACACTCTTGGGCTCTTGTCAAAGACGTTTTCTTGGAGGTTCCAAAGATGCTCTATGCCTTGTTGGCACTGGATTAGTGAAGACTAGCCTGAGAATTCGGGCTGGCATAGCATTTTTCTCAAAACCAGAGTGAAAGAAACTGCACCTCGAATCCTGTTCAAACAGCAGTGGATGCGTCCAGGGCTCCCAGTGTGGCCAGGACCCCGCCTCTAGCCTGGCAGCCCCGCTCTCCTGTGTCCTTGAAGGCGGAGCCGCACTGGCCTTCCCACTGGGCACAGCAGGCTGGGTCTGCGTCCGCAGCCACCTGTGCCTGTGCCGCCCTGCCGCTCAGCCAGTCCGAGGACTAGGACTGTGTACCCCAGCTTCTGCAATGGAAGTCGATTTTCAGTTTTTCTTCAAAGAAGGATCTATTTTATTAATTTCCACCATCAGTGCAAATGGGATCCTGAATCCATTTCTTAGTTTCCCTGTGTATATTAAATCCAGAGGAGTTGCTGGAAGCATTCATATTTATCTGAAGTTTCTTTCCTCTCTCTCCCTCTCCCCCTTCCTTTCCCTCCCTCCCTCCCTGCCTCTCTCTGTCCCTCTCCCCCCTGCCTGGTCCTTCAGGTGCAGACTTGCAGGCGCAGAGTTGGGCCTGCTCCTATCTCGGTGCGATCAGAGTTCAGCGTTGTGAGGTCTCCTGTATCATTCTTTGCCTCATTGAAGGCCTGTACTTTGAAACATTGAATGAACTGTCCTTGAGAATAGAACACTGGCATTGGGAGGCTGCTGTTTGCCTAGGGCGGCAGGCCTAGGGACTTGGGCGTGTTGTTGCAGTCAGGGAACCAGCTAAATCCATGTAAATGAAGGGCAACACCGAGGCGATAACTGTACATTTGGTTCTGGTTTACGACTCGTTTGTTTTCAACCTTTACTTGTTTTGTGTGTCAACGGCTGCATCTGTTTGGAGAACCCCGTCTTCCGCCTCTCGCGTACTGTTTTATAGGAACAGATACAAGCATGTTTGATACGCCTTCCCAAGCTGGGGCTGTGAGCTTGGCTAGACGGAGGGGAGAGGGGCTAGCAGCACGGTGGGCCACAGCGTCCCTCGGAAGACCCCTTCTGTGCTCGGGCACGGGGAACAGAAACCAGAGCAGTCTGCTGGCTTCTGCTCTTCCCCCCGCCAGGGCGGGGACTGTGGAAATTGGAGTTATGGCATATTGCTCAACTGTATGATGGCCACAGAACCAAACAGTTTGTCCTCGGCAGTGGCCCTGTGTGAGTGTGTCTGTGATAGTCCCGACCAGCTGCTGTGCTGTCGGGGAAGGAGGAGAGCTTCGCAAGCTCCCTGCCCGTGTGCCTGTGGGCCCCTGGCTCTGGCTGGCTCGGTGTTGAGACCATAAATAAAGGAAGGCAAGGCCTCCTGACTGGGGCGTGGCCTCCGATGGGGCGTGGCCTCCTGACAGGGCGTGGCTGCCT